TGACTTAAAGACAGGAACAGATGTTTTGAAAATGTGGCACAGTTCAGATATTTGGGAACAACAATAAGAGATCGAAACCTGATTCAAGAGGAAATTAAGAGGAGACTGAACTCGGGTAATGCTTGCTACCATTCAGTCCAGAACCTTTGTCTTCTCGTCTGCTGTCCATAAACATTAAAATTAGAATATACAAAATTATAATTTTGCCTGTGGTTCTGTATGGGTGTGAAACTTGGTCTCTGACATTAAGGTAGGAACACGGACTGAGGGTGTTGAGGAAAATATTTGGACCGAAGAGGGATGAAGTGACAGGAGGTTGGAGAACACTACATAATGAGGAGCTTCATAACTTGTACTCTTCTCCAAGTATAATTAATGTCAAGGAGGATGAGGTGGGTAGGGAATGTAGCACGAATTTGGAGAAGAGGAATGCGTATAGGATATTGGAGGGAAAGTCAGAAGGAAAGAGACCACTGGGAAGACCAAGGCGTAGGTGGGTGGACAATATTAAAATGCATCTTAGAGAGATAGGATGGGATGGTATGGACTGGATTTATCTGGCTCAGGACAGGGACCAGTGGAGGGCTCTTGTGAACACGGTAATGAACCTTCGGGTTCCATAAAATGCTGGGAACGTCTTGAATAGCTGAGCAATTGATGGAACAGCGTCTTGAAAAGGTTATCTAAGTTAAGGTAATGAAAGATTACGTTAGTTTTAACAGTGAATATAATTTTTTCACTGTCTCCACATGTCCCTTGGGCCTTGGCCTCTGATTTTCAATTTCATGATCATTTTACAGACGGTGGGACTCCTTGGATGGTTATCAGCCCGTCGTAAGGTCTCTACCTAAACACAGAACAACACAAACACAGAATAAACACATACATATACCTAACATTCCATGACTTGTGTGGGATTCGAACCCGCGATCCCGGCTTCCGAACGAGGGAAGACAGTACATGCCTTAGACCGCTAGGCTACCGCGACCGGCTAACAGTGAATATGGTAATCCATAATTGATATTAATAGAACATCAGTCTATGATACTTCACAAATTAAAGGCCTCGACGAAAGTCCGAAGTCCGTTACTTCTATGCTTTTTAAAGGGGCGCATACACGTACGAGTCTGGCTCGGCGAGCTTGACTCGGGAGCCGAGCTCGGATTAATTTCACCTTACATGCATGAGCTGACTCCCAACTTTGCGACCCACACAAGGACGAGTTTGGCTCATTGGAACCCGAGCCGAGTCGGATTCGCGAGCCAGACTCGTACGTGTATGGGCCCCCTAAAGCAGTACAATGACAGATTATGACAGATATTATGGAGGCAAGAAGTAGAAATTTATGAACATCTCGATAAAACAGCAGTACGGATCAATCGCAATAAATGCATCGAGACTAACTTTCGAGTTAACTTAGGTCTCCTCTATTCATGTTCGCCATTTAACAACTGACTCAAACAGCCCTATCATCTAAATAACGTTCGTGATATTCACAAAGATCATTGGCAGACTTTTAATTTCGTTGTTCGTCGTGTAAAATTTCCTATACTTTCGCGTAATATTAATTTTGTCTCCGTGTAATTCCCTCTCAACTGCCAAACAATTAGTTTTCTTTTCATTTCTCTATGTTTTTTGGACTATGCTGTTTACGTCCACAAACAAACTACGGCCGCCATTTTCTTTTAACACGCTTCTATAATCCAGTAAACATGCCGAATACGTTTAGCTAAATTGAACGTGACTGAACACAATCCGACATTTGCTCGTTTTGGTGAACAAACTGCACTAGAAGCTTAAGTTAATATCTTTGAGTCATACGTTGAAAGTGGAAAATAAATCCCAGTTTGGGTGTCAACATTTTAATTGGATAAGAAATGGCAGAGTTGGGTATTTCTTTCAGAAAAATCTATTTGCCTGCCGGGGGGGGGGGGACACTAGAAGGGACCGCTTAAGTTCGCAAGCAGGAAGCAAAACACGGAAACAAAAGACTTTCGAGTATTGTTAGTAACAGCCCGCCTCTGAGGTCTTGTGATCACAGTTCCTAGCTACAGTTCCAAAGGTCCGAGTTCGATTTCCGGCGCTACCAGAATTTCTGAGAAGTAGTGGATCTGAAACGGGGTCCCCTCAGCCTCGTGAAGATAACTGAGGAGCTATTTCAAGGAAACAGCGGCTCCGGTCTAGAAACCCGAGATTAATGGCCATGAGGATCTGCTGCGCTGACCACGCGACACCCTCTATCCGCTAAAGTTGGCACTAATATCGCCGACAGGCGGCGGTCGCTCGGTTGGTATAGTTCACTCGCGGACTACAGGCTACGGAGAATTTTTTAGATGTCAATATTTTAGTTGGATGAGAACCATCAGCGTTGGGTGTTTCTCTCAGGCAAAGCTGTTTGCCTGTCGGGGGTGCGGAAACACTGGAAGGGACCGCTTGAGGATGGCAAGCAGGAAACAAAGCACGGAAACAAAAGACTTTCGCGTACTGTTCGAAAATGTCAACTGAAATGAATTTTCATGCACTGAATCTAACAGTTCAATTTTTAATCGCTTCTTATTTATTCAGAACCGTTTAATATCCAGAGTTCCAAATCGTTTTAAAATTAAGATCTAAAAGTTTCTGACGATGGTACATTAGTACAAATATCATATTTATGGACATTATCCATCGTTTTGTCTTTATCTAAAAACCATCCTGTTTATTTTTCAAAACACAACCTATCTCCGGAGATAGGGAATAGCTGTATCGATTGTGCCCAACTGAGTAGGTTTTACCTGAAGACGGAGACAGAAACCAGTCTCCGAAACGTTGTTTTGGAAAATAAACAGGACTGTTTTTACATAAAGACAAGACGATGGATAATATCCAAAAACATAATATTTGTACGTTTTAAACACAACACAATAATACACAAGAGCTTCGTCTTAGAGTAAAAATTGTCAGTAATTTAGGAAACTGCCACTGTGCGATAGTTGAGCCGTCCAATTCACAACACACGCGCCGTCCATATATCGTGTATTTCTATGTAACACATATGATTTCTATATTAGCATCATTAAGGTTAACGTCTTTTTTTTTTTTAATCGCATAGTGGGGGTTGGAGTCCAGCTGGGTCCACTCGGCACGGCGATCACTGATTGTCCTACTGTACCTGCCCCGGGTGAGTATGATGACGCTGGAGAATTTGGTAAAATGAAGATTGGCAGGGGAAACCGAAGTATTCGGAGAAAACCTAACCCAGCGCCTTTTTGTTCACCACAAATCCTACTTGACCAGCGACTAACTGCTTGAGCTATGGCGCGGCCTTAAGGTTAACGTCTTACTCAACTAAGTATTAATTTCTTGTACTCTGAAGTCTAAAGCCTAAAGTCACGTTCTTAAGCGTTTCTCGCGTACTTATGCTGAAATGCCTTAATGTTATCTGCTTCGGCATATGTTGTTTATTCTTTCAGTAGCTAAAAATCGCCGTTTCAGGCCTATCTCCAACTCCAGCCATTTCGTGTGTTAAGTTTTCAGTTACTGAGGCGTCTTTCCAGGTTCTTGCTCGCTCAATCCAACTTTTATACTAGTCTTATAACATAAAACATCTCTGTTAACATGGGATGTTTTATTATGTACCGTAAGAGGTCAGCCTCATTCCAAAAGCGAAAGATGTAATGAAATTAAAACAAGCATGCCACACTTCAGCGGAATAAACCCCCAAGTCTTCAGGGCCACGCATCTTGGTCTCCAACTGCATTTCTTTACAAATGTCTTCATCTCCTGCATTTCACTGTCAATTCTTATCTCACAACATTAAATTTTTAAACTGTACAGAAATTTAATAAGGCCCACAACAGATTTAAGCGTTAACGCCGATCTATATTAAATAATTTAATCGTTACAACTGTTCAGTTGGCACTGAGGTGTCAGTTTAACCTAAATATCAGTGTCAACAATACACCGAATTTCTAATTACAAACAAACTGTTAATGCTTACTCTCACAATACTGGCGGGGGTTTCATAGGCAAGTACATAGGTTATTGCATGTAACCACGACCACAAAGAATACGTGACTCAAGCTAGGAAGATAAGAGGAACATGTTTGATCGCGAAGTTGAGTGAATTCAGTCTCATCTATTAATGCATTTCTCTACTTGACCACTTTCATGCCAAGACTTCTCAATAGCCATAGAAATATGTAGCACAACATTTCATTTTATTTTAGTTTCTTGGGGTGGGGTGAGACTGAGTCCACTTGGTACGTCGGCCACTAATTGGTCTATTGAACCAGTCACGGATGATAGATAACGAGTGTGGAGCAGTCTGTGGAATGAAAATTGGCAGGGGAAATCGAAGTACTCGGAGTAAATTTCACCCAGTGTCACTTTTTGCACCACAAATCCCACAATACCTGGGCTCGAACCCGGGCCGCCACGGTGGGAAGCCGGCGACTAACAGCCTGAGCTAGGGAACGGAAAGTGCTATCACTGACACTTGAGAGTAAGAGAAGCGATTTTATACAGAGGGGGTAAATTCGAATTCCTCAGTTAACATGTAAAAAGTGTGAGGTGCTGAAGTAGGTTCGGTAAAGTAAAGGAAAAAGGTAAAGCTATCCCCTGTAACAGGCCGTGGAGGCCCATAAGGTTGTGAGACGTCGAGGTTCCCACATTTTCTTTAGACAATCAGCAGACAGATGGCGGTGAGGTTGTCAGCCTTACGCTCTGACGGCCCTTTACCCCCCAAGAATATTCCTGGTACTCATTTCGGTTAGAGGCTCAGTCGACCCCAGGACCATAGTGCGGCTGGAAGTTTTTAGGTCAATTGAAAAAATGACCTCATCGGTACTTGAATCCACGATCTTCCGGCTTGTAGTATAGTACCTCAACCAACTATGCTACCGCATCTCGCAAAATGAAAAAATAAAATACAAGTGAAGACATGAAGAAGCATATTGAGAAACATAAATACAGGCGTAACTTCACAGTTTAACATTAACTTGCAGTGAAATGAGACTTACCCCACGTTTTGTCAGGTGACATCGAACTGCCAAGGTTCAGGAAGCAGAGAGATGGTGACTCACCTGCAACAGCAAAGCACACAGTTTACATTATTGCGGTATGTACAGTATTTGCGGGGCCCCTAGACTCTATGTCACGGTATGGTGACCATCATCTCGATTTACATTCGCGAGATCACGGGCTTCCGCCTGTCTGGACTAAGCTGAGTTTCCGCGGCCAGTTTGATAGTGCTTAAAAATAAACTTCTTTACGTGTTACGTTTGGTTCGCCTTTCATATGGACACTGAATACATAATAAAGTAGAGGTACCGTGAAAAGGGCCAGGAGCCAATCAAGAAAAATGTAAGATTTGAAGTTTTCACGGGGGTAACTATGAAGAATGACGTCTTCTGGGATGTGGCGCTGTGCAAATCTACTCTAAACCAACGTATCGGAAGAACATATCTTCAGGTTAGAAAAATCCGCGAGCGAGAAACCAGCGTTAGCAGGTGGCAGCATCCTGAGCCACTTGCTCACGCTAGTCCCTCGCTCTATTTTCGACTGCTGGCTCAGTCTGCAGCCACTTGCTCACGCTGGTTCATCGCTAGAGGATTTTTCTACATTGAAGGTGGAGGCGATACGTTCCCCTGAAACGTCGGTTTACATTAGATCTATACGGCCCCATATCCCAGAAGACGGCACTCTTCAATCAACTCCCAATCTTAGGACTAACAGCTACTAATTATTCTCCCTCTATTACGTTATTCCATTTCCGGTAAGGTAAAATGACAAGGATCATTTCTGTAGCTGTCGTTCCCAGTTTTCTTTGAGATCATCTGGCAGATCATTTGAGCCATTAGTTCGTGCGCCATCTTCACAATTGTATAACACAGCACGTGCACACATGTGTGTAAATAGTTCGGCGATGTGATCTCGAAATGTTTTACGGTGAGGGATCATTCAGCTGATCGGTCGGAACACTAAACGATTAATGAATATTCAGCACATCCTACGCTATCCAATGATTTCATAAGAAATTCGCATTCAATTTCACAACAATTCCATGCATGCCAGTCACCTTATTTCGTGAAGTTTGTTACTTTTGCTTCTCTGATACTACGAGAGAGCCAGAAAATAGGATAAAAATTGAAGTAAAATGCTGTAATGGTTTCAGTAGTCAAAATGGCAACCATTTTTGAGTACATTACCGAAGAGCAGCGTTTTACTGTGCGTCTTTTGCGACTAAAAGGAGTCAATGCAAAGCATACTCATAATTAAATATTTTCTGTTTACGGTGGGAAGTGTTTCGCGCGTAAAGCGGTTGATAACTTTATCAAGAAGTTCTCTCAAGGACGTTCGAAAGTCGCAGATAATGCCCGACAAGATGCGGAAGTCACTGAGACAACAGTCCAAACATTAGTATAATGCGGGTTTAGAGGCACTGGTAAATAGATGGAACAAAAATATCAATATTGGTGGGGTATATGTTGAGAAATAGACTTTTTTTCAGGTTCGAATATCACAAGTTTTACGTTTTCTATCCATTTGTGACTTATTTAATTACTCTCCCTCGTAACTACAGATCCCGTCTGCGGTGGAAGGGAGTAATGATTTTTTTTTCCTTGGCACTACAGCCCCAGTGGGCCTAGGCCTACCTCCATGAACTTCTCCGTTCACTTCGGTTTCTCTAGATCTTACACAGTCGGTAGGACTCCTTGGGCGGGTGATCAGCTCGTCGCAAGGTCTCTACCTGTACACAAACAGAAAAATGCACACACACAAACTAAGACATCCGTGCCCTGAGTGGGATTCGAACCCACGATCCCCGTTTCCAAGCGAGCGAAGAGAGTACATACCGAGAGTAATGATTACTTCCGAAAGTAGGGCTGACTACTATTCAGGTCACCTCAGAGGATCGTAAACAAAGCTGACTGCATATCCGGCACATGAACTAAAGTGAAGATGCTCTGTGCACTGAACAGTAACACAGCTCCAGAATATAAATGTGTTAGCGCAGGCGCTCTGAATTTAACACGTTCCTACGTACTCATTAACATATTTCTAGAAATATTTCTGAATATCTCTAATTACTTTTATTGTTCCGTTCTTTAGTGCCAGAAATTTAAAACTACACTTATGGCGACGTTAGAGCCGCGCCATAGCTCAAGGGGTTAGTCGCTGACTTCCCACCGCGGCGGCCCGGGTTCGATCCCGGGTCTGCTCAAGTGGGATTTGTGGTGGACAAAGTGGCGCTGGGGAGGGTTTTCTCCGAGTACTTCGGTTTCTCCTGCCAATCTTCATTCCACCAGTTGCTCCACAATCACCCTCACCTATCATCTCGGGCTGGTACAATAGGCCAGAAGTGTCCGCAGTATAAGGGCCTTAGTCCCACCCCACTAGCAATAAAAAAAATACGACACTAATAAATTAAACCGATGCTGTTTCATTTGGGAGCAAGAAAACATATTGTATTTATAATAACGAGTACAGGTCTATCTCCAGATATAATTAGAATGATCAAGTCAAGGAGGATGAGATTGTCAGGGCATATAGAACGTATGGGGGAGAAGAGGAATGCATAGGAGATATTGGTGGGAAAGCCAGATGGAAAGAGACCACTGGGAAGACCNTCCGCAGTATAAGGGCCTTAGTCCCACCCCACTAGCAATAAAAAAAATACGACACTAATAAATTAAACCGATGCTGTTTCATTTGGGAGCAAGAAAACATATTGTATTTATAATAACGAGTACAGGTCTATCTCCAGATATAATTAGAATGATCAAGTCAAGGAGGATGAGATTGTCAGGGCATATAGAACGTATGGGGGAGAAGAGGAATGCATAGGAGATATTGGTGGGAAAGCCAGATGGAAAGAGACCACTGGGAAGACCAATGCATAGGTGGGTGGACGATGTTAAAACGGATCTTACAGAGATAGGATGGGATGATATGGATTGGATTGATGTGGCTCAGGATAGGAACCCGTGGAGAGCTCTTGTGAACATGGTAATGAACATTCGGTTTCCATAAAATGCTGGCAAGTTCTTCAGTAGCTGCACAATTGGCAGCTCCTCAAGAAGGGCTCAGCTCCAGAGTGAGTGACAGGCCTATATTGTACGGGCTGGGATGACTAATTATTGTGTAAAAAGAACAACCCAAAGGTATGTTATAGCTAGCTGATAAGAATGAAGTTTATATTCATATTACTATACACATATAAAGTAAAGTAAGTAACTAACTAACTAACTAGAGCGGCCTCCGTAGTCTAGGGGTAACGTTCCCACCTCATGACTCAAGGTACGCGGGTTCAAACCCGTGAGGGACTTTAAGCCGTGTGTCCCGTGTCGTAGAATTACGGCACGTAAAAGAACCTCATGTCTCTAGGAGACCTCTGAGCTCAATTAGGCAACAATTTCCCGCCCAAGTAGTTTCCAATGCCTCTGGTAGATGGGGGAAATATCAAGGTACCGGGGGCCGACCTTGTTGGCTCAACGGTCTGATAGCACGCACAAATACCGGTAGGGTATGGAGACTGGTAGAATATCAAAGGGGGACGTACAATAGATCAACAACTGGTCACGGTGCATGGGGAAACCCACCCCCTCCAATAATAATAATAATAATAATAATAATAATA